AAGATACCAATGTGAGATTTCTAAATATAGCGACAGCACTTGATCCAAGATTTAAGAATCAGAAGTGCCTTCCAAAATCTGAGAGGGACAAGGTGTGGAGCATGTTTTCAGAAGTCTTAAAAGAGCAACACTCAGATGTGGAAACTACAGAACCTGAACCACCAAAAAAGAAAATCAACCTTCTGCTGGTGGCATCTGACTCAGATGTTGAAAGTGAACATGCATCGGTCTGCTCTGCTTTGGATCGTTATCGAGCAGAACCCATCATCAGCATTTACCCCAGAATGGTGGTTGAAGATGAAGGGACATATGAATCTTTAGTGCATCTGACACGTAAATACCTTGAGATGCCTGCTATAACAGTGCCATGCGAATGCCTGTCTCACTTTCAGGTGAAATTGTAAACAAGAAGTGGGCAACATTATCTCCTGTAAATTGTAACCAAATTTGGTTGTCTGGGCAATTGGCTGAAGTAGGACTGAGTGGACTTGTAGGCTCTAAAATTTTATACTGTTTTATTTTTCAATGCAATTATTTTTTGTAAATAATTTTACATTTGTAAGTTCAACTTTCATGATAAAGAGATTGCACAGTACTTGTATGAGGTGAACTGAAAAATACTATTTCTTTTGTTTTTTAGAGTGCGAATATTTGTAATAAAAACAAATATAAAGTGAGCACTGTACACTTTGTATTGTGTTGTAATTGAAATCAATATATTTGAGAATGTAGAAAACATCCAAAAATATTTAAATAAATGGTATTCCATTATTGTTTAACAATGCGATTAATCGCGATTAATTATTTAATCGCTTGACAGCCCTAATTAAAATCTAAACACTGAGGTTAACACTAGCTGGAAATATACTGTTATGGAAAAGCTCACAAAAAGTCACTTTTAGAAAGTTTTTGTTTTTTTGGTTCCAACAGCCCCAGTGCAGACACACAGACAATATTATATAAGAACCATTTCATTCCCTCCTCCTATACCGTCTCACAAACTGCAAAATTGTCAAGCTGTGGAAATCAGCATAGCAGCAATACCCTGTATAAAAATGTGGAATCTTAAGTCTCTTTCTTAAGGTCAATGCAGCTTATGGTAATGAATATGGAAAGGTTACTATTGTTGTCTTTTGTTGATTTTGTCGCAAAAAATGCAAAGAACAAAAGGTCACTAAGCAATGTTCCTAAGCTAGTTTGGAATTCACTAATCTATCACTGAGGAAAATAAAAAAGGGGTTAATAAAATACACGCTAGACAGAGAAAATGAGATTAGAGGTGGCATTTTGGCCGTGAAGCCTTCTTTAGACTGTAAAAAAAAATAGAAAGCAAAGCTAGTCCCAGACATTGATCATTGAATAAATATTTACAAACTAAATAAAGCTTCTTGAAGTGGAGCTGATATGTAATAATTGTATGAATACTGAGATGTAACAATTTTATGAACACAGTGTATGTGACTGGATCAGTGAGGGGAAGTTAATTGTGAATTGGGTTACAGCCCATATGGATATACCGACTTAACTTACATCGGGGGCTGTACGAAGAACAACACAATGGCTTTCCAGATAAGAATGACAATGGGTAAAAGTATCAGTTTCAAGAACATTGCATCCTATCTCCAGGGAAGATGCAAGTTTGTTTTGCCAGAATGGGAACTTGGAGATCTGAAGGATACTAAACAGTTAAAAGCCTTCTGAGAAGAGGATGTGGTCCCTTGTGAGATGCTGTCTAGGGAGACATCCTGGCACAGAGTGAGAGACACTGCCGAGGGAGTCTAAAGAAACTAGGCTTTCCCAGATCCAGGAAATGGTAAGTTTTAGGGAAAAAACTAGATATGTGTGCAGGCCATTTTACTGTTTTTAAGATATATTTTATCTGAAATGTTACTGTAGCTCACGAAAGCTTATGCTCAAATAAATTTGTTAGTCTCTAAGGTGCCACAAGTCCTCCTTTTCTTTTTGCGGATACAGACTAACATGGCTGCTACTCTGAAACCTGTTCTAAATAAGTTACATTTTGCTTTAAAGTTGTCACTGATTACCACTGTCATTGCCCTAGAGGGAACAGAATTGCAGGGTCTGAACATAAATCAGACCTTCCAAGGTGAATCCTGGTGAGCCCCAATGGTTTGCAATCAGGCCGTGGTCTGAGAGTGGGAGAATGGCAAGATTCCACCCCAAGAGACAGGTTATGGCTAGAGGCCTGAGACCCAGACGGAGCATGCTCAGAGAGACCAGGAGGGGTTAGAGGGGCAGTTTACCTAGTAACTGTGACATCATCAATAGTAGGGCAAACAATTTCACTCTCACTAATTTACTAAATCTTTTTACAGGGACATTTTCATACATGTGCATATACATACATTGACTGCAATGGAGCTAGGATAATTTATATCAGTTGAAGATTTGGGCCATAGTGTTTATATAGATACAATCTGAGTGAGGATATAAAAACAGAAAGATTTAAATGTAAAGAATTAGATAAATACAGAAAGCAACCACAAACACCAAAAACACCAGAAGAAGAATATATTACAGAAGTTAGGAGCAACTACCAAAGGTGACCATTGAATGTGGTTATTCTTATTCAATTTTCATGTTTTCGCTATAATCAGATTTTCAAAAACTGATACAAAAACAAATACACAGAGTAGCATAAGTGTCAGGATGAATTATATATTTATATATTATAGAAATAATCTCAAATGTCTCTAAGGCCCCATTCCTGCAAAAACTAACACATATACTTAACTTTTCATGCTGTGAGTAGTCCTAGTGTTAAGTATGTGTATGTCTTTGAAGGATCATGGCCTAAAAGTCCAATTTTGTTTAGTCAGACTAGGAGCACCATAGTACTCTATGTCACTAGGCAATTGGTTTGTCTCATATGAAAATTAATCTTAATTAATGGGTGAATTTTTAAATCAGTTTAACTATTCCTGATTATCTCTATGGGTATGTCTACACTACAAAATTAGGTCGATACGTATGCCCACACTAAGCGCATTAAGTCTGCGGAGTGCGTCCTCACTACCGTGGCTAGCATCGACTTACGGAGTGGTGCACTATGGGTAGCCACAGTTCCCACAGTCTCCACCTCCCATTGGAATTCTGGGTTAAGCTCCCAATGCCTGATGGGGCAAAAACATTGTCGAGGGTGGTTTTGGGTACATGTCATCAGTCACCCCTCCCTCCATGAAAGCAAAGGCTGACAATCATTTCACATCTTTTTTCCGTGCGACGCCATACTGCTTTCAGCAGACGGTGCAAAAGGACTGCTAACCGTCATCATTCACTGCTTCTGCTGCAACTCTGCTCTGCTGCTATTGTCTCAATAATGAATTTCTCCATGTTGTCTGTCATGGGCTCCCATGTACATGTGTTCTTCCTCGGGAAATGTGCGCGGTGCTAACCATTGTTTTCCACCGCTTCCGCGGCAACTTTGCTCTCCCGCTCTCATGAATCCACCTTGCAGGTCCTCTCCTTGGTCTCTATAAATATCTATTCTCGTGGCATCTGTCGTCAGCCACTGCTTCTGCTGCAATTCTGATCTCCTGCAGATGCCATACCATGGCAAGCATGGAGCCTGCTCAGATCACTGCAGCAGTTATGAGCATTGTAAACACCTTGCACATTATCCTGCAGTATGTGCAGAACCTGCAAAAGCAGGCAAGGAGGTGACAGCAGCGCAGTGACAAGAGTGATGAGGACATGGACACAGACTTCTCTCAAAGTATGGGCCCCGGCAATTTGGACATCCTGGTGGCAGTGGGGCAGGCTCATGCCATGGAACGTCAATTCTGGGCCTGGGAAACAAGCACAGACTGGTGGGACCACATAGTGTTGCAGGTCTGGGATGATTCCCAGTGGCTGCGAAATGTTCGTATGTGTAAGGGCACTTTCATGGAACTTTGGGACTTGCTTTCCCCTGCCCTGAATCGCAAGAATACCAAGATGAGAGCAGCCCTCACAGTTCACAAGTGAGTGGCAAAAGCCCTCTGGAAGCTTGCAAAGCCAGACAGCTACCAGTCAGTCGGGAATCAATTTGGAGTGGGCAAATCTACTGTGGGGGCTGCTGTGATCCAAGTAGCCAACGCAATCCCTGAGCTGCTGCTATCAAGGGTAGTGACTTTGGGAAATGTGCAGGTCATAGTGGATAGCTTTGCTGCAATGTGGTGCAGCAACTGTGGTGGGGCGATAGACGGAACGCATATCCCTATCTTGGGACTGGACCACCTTGGCAGCCAGTATGTAAACCGCAAGGGGTACTTTTCAATGGTGCTGCAAGCACTGGTGGATCACAAGGGACCTTTCACCAACATCAACATGGGATGGCTGGGAAAGGTACATGACGCTCGCATCTTCAGGAACTCTGGTCTGTTTCAACAGCTGCAGCAAGGGACTTACTTCCCAGATCAGAAAATAACTGTTGGGGATGTTGAAATGCCTATAGTTATCCTTGGGGACCCAGCCTACCCCCTAATGCCATGGCTCATGAAGCCATACACAGGTATCCTGGACACTAGTAAGGAGCTGTTCAACTATAGGATGAGCAAGTGCAGCATGGTGGTAGAATGTGCATTTGGACGTTTAAAAGCGCACTGGCGCAGTTTACTGACTCTCTTAGACCCCAGCAAAACCAATATTCCCATTGTTATTGCTGCTTGCTGTGTGTTCCACAATATCTGTGAGAGTAAGGGGGAGATGTTTATGGAGTGGTGGGAGGTTGAGGCAAATCACCTGGCTGCTGATTACGCGCGGCCAGACAGCAGGGTGATTAGAATAGCACAGCAGGGCACGCTGTGCATCAGAGAAGCTTTGAAAACCAGTTTCATGACTGGCCAGGCTATGCTGTGACAGTTCTGTTTATTTTTCTTGATGAAAACCCACCCCCTTGGTTCACTCTACTTCCCTGTAAGCCAACCTCCCTCCCCCCTTTGATCACCGCTTGCAGATGCAATAACATCATTGTTGTTTCAAAATCATGCATTCTTTATTAATTCATCACACAAATAGGGGGATAACTGCCAAGATAGCCCAGGAGGGGTCGGGGAGGAGGGAAGCACCGGGTGGAGTAGGGGAGGAGGGGAGAAGGGAAGGACAAGGCCACACTGCACGTCAAAACTTATTGAATGCCAGCCTTCTGTTGCTTGCGCAGTCCTCTGGGGTGGAGTGGTTGGAGCCCCCCAGTGTTCTTGGGCGTCTGGGTGAGGAAGGTATGGAACTTGGGAAGGAGGGCAGGCAGTTACACAGGGGCTGCAGCGGCGATCTGTGTTCCTGCTGCCTTTCCTGCAGCTCCACCAGACGCCGGAGCATATCAGTTTGATCCCCCAGTAGCCTCAGCATTGCATCCTGCTTCCTCTCATCACACTGCTGCCACCTCTCCTCTTACTCCTGCAACCTTTCATCTTGCTTGTCCCTCCTGTCCTCGCATTCATTTTGTGCTTTCCTGGACTCTGCCATTGTTTGCCTCCATGCATTCTGCTGAGTTCTTTCAGTGTAGGAGGACTGCATGAGCTCAAAGAACATTTCATCGCGAGTGCATTTTTTTCGCCTTCTTATCTGCGCTAGCCTCTGCGATGGAGATGATAGGGGGAGCATTGAAACATTTGCAGCTGTGGGAGAAAAAAAAAGGGAGAGTAGTATTTTAAAAGACACATTTTAGAGAACAATGGGTAGACTCTTTCACGGTGAACCAATCTGTTAACATTACATAGCACATGTGCTTTCGGTACAAGGTCACATTTTGCCTCTTTTATTGAGGGCCTGCCGGTTTGGTGTGAGAGACGCAGGGTCGGGCAACAGAATTCGGCTTGCAGGCAGCCATGGTAAGTCACAGTCTTTTGGATTCTTCAACCTTCATAACATGTGGGAACGGTTTCAAACAGCAGCACCCTCCTTTCCCATACCAAGCACCTGTTGGGTTGGCCATTTAAAAGGAGGAGCTGCGGTTTTCAGGTTAACATGCAGCACAAACCCAACTAAACCCCCCACGCAATTCTCTGGGATGATTGCTTCACCCCTCCTCCCACCGCGTGACTAGTACCAGGGAAGATCCCTGCCAGCCAAACGCGAAAAGCTCAGCGTGAATCCCCCCCCTCCACCGCGTGGCTAAAAGCGGGGATGATTTCTTTTCAGCAAAAGGCAAACAGCCCAGCAGAAACGGCCACCTCTGAATGTCCCCAGAGGATTTCCACTCCATCCCCGACACGTTAACAGACTTTTCCAGTAGCTGTACTGGTCACGAATGCATTCCAAGTCTTCAGGGCAAATTAATCATTAAACATGCTTGCTTTTAAACTGTGTATTATATTTACAAAGGTACACTCACCAGAGGTGCCTTCTCTATCTTCATGGTCCAGGAGTCTGCCTTGGGAGGGTTGGGAGGGTATTGGCTCCAGGGTGATGAACAGTTCCTGGCTGTTGGGGAGAATGGTTTTCCGTTTGCCTGTTGCGCGCTATCCTCATCATCATCTTCTTTGTCCCCAAAATCCTCATCCCTGTTGCATGAGACTCCCCCCTTGCTAGTGTCCACAGACAGGGGTGGGGTAGTGGTAGGGACAGCCCCTAGAATTGCATGCAGCTCATCATATAAGCGGCATGTCTGGGGCTCTGACCCGGAATGGCCGTTTGCTTCTTTGGTAGGCTTGCCTGAGCTCCTTAATTTTCTCTGCTGCGGGTCCCTGTTACAGCCTCTGTCCATCACGCCCATGGAGATTTTTTCAATATATTGGCATTTCGTCTTTTGGAATGGAGTTCTGATAGCACGGATTTGTCTCCCCATACCGTGATCAGATCTAGTAACTCCCGTTCGGTCCATGCTGGAGCTCTTTTGTGATTCTGGGACTGCATGGTCACCTGTGCTGATGATCTTTGCATGGTCACCTCTGCTGATGAGCTCGCCATGCTGGCTAAACAGGAAATGAAATTCAAAAGTTCCTGGTGCTTTTCCTGTGTACCTGGCTAGTGCATCTGAGTTGAAAGTACTGTCCAGAGCAGTCACAATGGAGCACTCTGGGATAGCTCCCAGAGGCCAATTCCGTTGAATTGCATCCACACTACCCCAAATTCGACCCAGTGATGTCGATTTCAGCATGAATCCCCTCATCAAGGAGGAGTACAGAAATCAATTTTAAGAGCCCTTTAAGTCGACAAAAATGGCTTCATCATGTGGATGGGTGCAGGGTTAAATCAATCTAACACTGCTAAATTCGACCTAAACTTGTAGTGTTGTAAACCAGGGCTATGTGTGGATGCTGTAATTCTGGAATAAGAATACCTTATTCTGAGTTAGTTCAAGCCACTTGTTTTAAACTAATTCAGAATAAGCCATTTATTCTAAAATAATTAATTAATCAGAAATAGCTATTCTGGAAAAATCTCCTATGTAGACAAACTCTAAAAAGCAGGTAAGGGTGGTGGGAAGCAGCTTTGAAGTAACCTGTGAAGTGGGGAAATCTTTGAAGTTTGGGAGAACAAGCTTTGAATAAGAGCACATGTGACTGTTTGCAGGAGGAAGCCTTTTGCACTATTTGTGCACTATTTAAAGCTGTGTAGGGATCTTTTCAGTCAAAAAGCAACAGAAGTTTCAGATGTAATTTGTTATGCTGCTAGAGTGGTCAATGATGCGATCGGACCTAGAAGACATTGAGAAATATATATTGTGGAATTAGGGGCCATAATTGTCCATGTTCCTTGATAATTTTCTCTTGTTAACACATGTCAACTGGAAATGTGAATGATTAATTTCACCTGCTTCAGCCACATTATTATGGGAGGTTTACCAATTCAGGGAAAAAAAACAAAACAATTTACCAATTCAGGAGAGTGTCAGAAACATCCTACTACAAATATCCAGACAGACAATGCCTATTTTCATTAAAGGACACCTGCATGGAATTCCAAAAATGTACGGCATGCAAATGTACATACACTGGGGCTAGGCCTATCTTTTTGTACATATATGAGCAAGCTTTAGATTCTGCATTTACTTACTCTAGCAAAACTCCCACTGTAGTAACACTGTGTGTTATGTATGCAAGGAGAACAATGAACGTGTGGGTTAACTGCTTTTCAGGCGCATCATACACTGATATGCTCATGACTACCTCTCATTGCTAAAAGCAGTGAGGACAACCCATGGTTGTCACATTCTGAACGGCTTGATACAATAAGACACAGCCATTTCACAGGGTAATGGCAGATGTATCATGGATAGTAGTGCTGCAGTGGGAAGGCTCAGGATTAAGATGACCTAAAAGGTCCTTACCTTTATACTGTAATTTGTATAGTCTTGAGCCTGCTAACACTTATGAATGTTCTGAAGTATAAGCACTTGAGAAGTCTATTTACTTCAACTGCTTAAAGCTAAGCACATATGTATATGTTTGCAGGATTGGGATGTTTGAGATTTTCAGCCCCATCTATCCAACAGAACTTTAGTATTATTATAATTAACAGAGGTGTGTCATCCATCTTCTGTAAATAATTTTATTTTCAAGTCTACTAATATCACTAAGATATTTTAAAAAATATGAACCACAGACAATATGTATACACAAGACTGAGAGAAACAGAGAGCCTAAATTAAGAGAGGAAGCGTTATGGAGCTCCGAAGCCCTTGGTTCCATCGATTCCTTTGACCTGGATTACTTCTGTGGCCTTAGAAAGCAAGTCTCAGTTTCTCAGTCTGTAAAATGATGATGGTGATACTTACGGTATTTACCTACCTTACAGGGATACTGTAATGATCAGTTAATTCAGTTGGATGAATTTCACCCTTGTGCAGAAGACCAGCAAGAGGCCTATGCACCACTAGGAGAAGATTCAGTAAAGAACTATATATATATATATGGTAAGTATTTATTATGATAATGATACAGCAATGCTTTGTTTCACTGCCACAGATTTAGCAGAGGGAGAAAAAGCTACCTAATAATCCTTCTCTAAGAAGGCACAACCAGGCTGACTCTTCCTTTACTAACTGAAAACTATCACTATTTGCAAAATGAAAAAAGATAAAATCAGAAACAAAAGAAATGTTATTTTCAGGTTTTTTAGGTATATCAAACAGGAAGAAAAATATGAACTATTTTTGAAAGTGGAGAGCTGTGCTTCAATTATTTTTTCTTGCCTGTGTATGTAAGTTGGATTCAAATTATCTTTGTATATAGAAGTGTTAGACTAATTATACTTCTAGGAACAATCATCATGACTAAGCAACAGGAATGGCGATACTGGGATCTGATGTGTTTTATAATGACTGTTGCCCTAAATAAATGAAGTCAGAAAGGGTTCGTTTATGCGCTATCCAGTGTAAACTATCCAGACAAAGCAGAACAGAATATCTTTCCCAAAAACATTACAGAAGCAGAAATACCCCCCTGTACAATTTGAGAGTTCTGAATTGCTTTGTGAGGGAGGTACATAAGGCTGCACAAAAAAAGCAAATAAATTAACTCACTTTCACATAAGTGATTCCATGTATGTTTGTGTATATATTAGAGCTGGGCGGAGGATGGAAATTTCATTTCACAAAGTATTTTGAGATTTTGAAATTTGGCTTCAATCTGAATTGGAATAAAACACAAAAAATTCAAAATTCTGCATGAAGAAAAATTCTGAAAAAATTGTTTCAGATAAAAAAAATGTTTTGACAAAATCAAAACATTTCATTTCAATTCTTTAATTTGTATTATATAATATCATCCAAAAGAAAAAAATCTAAATAAAGCGTTATTTCAAAATGAAAAACCAAAACATTTCATTCTGAAAATGTCAAAACGGGACAGTGTGATACTGTTTGGACTTTTTTCATTTTTTTTCTCTGAAATGAAATTTCAGTGAAATCAACACAATTTCACAAAGCTTTTCAGTTTTGATGGAACCACATTTTTGGTTGGAAAATTGTTGCACTCAAGTTTTTCCAACCAGCTTTAGTATATATGTACAAACATACATGTATTTTTATGTGTAACACAGAAACACGCTGTATATATAGATATTAATCCCAGAGATCACGACTGCAATCCAATATAACCCCTCTGAGGATTGTAAGCAGCACTAACATTTTCATGCACTCCTTCTATTTCAGTGTCAAGGCCCAATTTTTCAGTTCTGGTCTTTTAAATAATCTTGTTTTACATGTAAAGAATACATTTCACATTACAAAAGCCCATCTTTCAAACAGAATCAGAAAACTGGGATCTTCTTAATAGGAGGCTGTGACAGAAAACTAAAAAGACTGTGTAGATTTACGGCCCAATCCTTCACCAATGGATGTTTTACCAGTAACTTCAATGAGAGCAGCACTGTGGCTTTGGAACAAAATCCATTGAGTAAAGGCTAAAGATCTGGGCTTTAATAATGCACAGACTTCTTTGGAAATTAAGGGATCTCAAGCTCCTTCCTGGAAAAACCCAGTATCTCACAGATCTGAGCGCTAAGACTGCATTTCAGGGAAAAGTGACAGAAGGTAATGAGAGGCAACTGCACTTGCCTTTCTTGGAATGGAAACTGAATTTCTAGATAAACTGAAAATTTCAGACCCTCCTCCCTCATGAGCAAAGAATTTCATGATAACACAAAATAAAAATTCCTACTGAAATAATACGTTAGTGGGGAAGGAAAGCAAGCAAGCTGATTTTTAGGATTGCTGTACCTCATATATAGGAAAGCAAAGAGCTTCACTTTCTAAAATAAGTTATTTAACTCTTGAAAAGCACATCAAAACTCCAAAATAACAAAAAGACAAAAGTTGGCCTTTTCTTTGTGGATATATTTTTGCATGTGAATGAGGGAAGAATCAAACTGCAGCATAAAAATAAACATTTTGTTCCAATAGCACATAACCTGATCACTTCCTGAAGTCCTAGTGATGATAACCAGCTCTGAATTACATTCACTGCTAATTTAACACACAACTGGTTAGAATGAGGCAGCTGCAACCAACAGTTCAAATCAAATTCACATAATATGGGGATTGATATTTTCAGAAGAAAATCACTGCAAACACAGATGATTTTTTTTTAAAAAAGGCCAAATGTTAATCTTAGATGTGTTTGATTTTAAACAAAGGAAGCTTGGGAGAGGCAGGGGAGGGTCCAGGAGTGAGCATTTTTTAAAAGACAAGATGATTTGATGTCACATAAAATCCTAGGGCAAATGGGGGCAAATGATATCAGACAGGAAGAGGCTAGAGCTGATGCCTGCAAAGGTTTCAAAATAAATTCCCTGACCTAATTTGGGTTTGAAGATTTAATTTTTAACATATCTGCAGCTTAGTTAGGGATACACTTGACATCCCAGTGCACAGCAGGGTTTTCTTCTTCTCCCTGCAAGTTGGTGCAATTGCCATATGGGGAGGGGGGGTGGGAGGAGGCGGAGGAGGAGGGTAGGAAGCAGTGGAAGAGGAGGCATGCCTATATGCTTCTTGGTTTAGGCTGGCACTGGCAGGTCCATGCTAAGAGGAGCTTACAGACATAAGGCAGGTCTGACATCTCTCCTGACCTGTGATAAATAATAAAGGGAGAAAGGAACAGGAGTACTTGTGTGTACCTGTTCTTTTTGCGGATACAGACTAACACTTCTGCTACTCTAAAAGGGAGAAAGGGACATTTGAAAGTAGGAACAGGGCCCCCACCAGACTTTTATATTTTTTTGCTTTACTGAAAGCAATCAAGCCATTCTCAAATCACAGCTTTACAATGTTGCGTAAAGCAAACATAGCTCCCGCGTGTATTAATTCCTTCTTTCCCTTTTCTATTCCTATCATTCATTCTGTATTTTGATGCATCTTCCTTTCACTCTTTTTCATTGTCTGTGGTTTCACTCAGACTATTTTTGATCCTTTATAAATAGATGGGGGGAGGGGAGTGGTACATTTTTCAGTCTTTCTTCAACATGTTTTTTTCTTTTCTGTTTCAGCCTCTCTCCCCTTTGCTGTTTTTATTTTGATGCTCTATCTCCCCCTGTCTCTTTCACTGTATTTTTTATCCCATTCCCTTTTTCTCAGCCCCTTCACTGGGGTGCTCCCCCACCCTGGTGTCTACCTCACAACAGAAGCTGTTCACAGCTCCCCCTGCAGGGGTAGGGTAGAAGTGCCACATCTCTCCTGTGGGACTGGGAAAAAGAGCAAGCAAGCCTCAGTGGCTTCTAACTGCCCTAGAGAAAACTGAGACTATGTAAGGCACTGCTGGGCCAGTGCATGAGGAATCAGCATGCCTCATCTCCTGCTCCTCACCCTCCCCCACTCACCCTCACTCTGAAGATACCTCCTACTCCCAGTAATTAAGCTGCCACACTTTGGTCTCCTGAATGGTAACTCAAGACTCTTCCATTTATTTTACCACCAGGACAGGGAATTTTTTAAAATGATTGCTCCAGTGATAAAGGATACAATTACATCACACAGTGACTACATGAACATTTTGTGCAGTGTTTAAGAATCTCTCTGTAGGATTTAAAAACAAGTCCCTAACAATTCCATGTATTGTCTGATAGTTCCTGTGTTAACTGGCTATGGTAAAGCATCCATGCTGGTTTTGGTAATTAAAGGATATTAACAGTTATACACAATCAGGATCTAAAGAAAGATTTCTTGGTTAATTGGGGATTCATGGTTTTCATGTAATT